ATAACAAATAGAGAAAATTTATTAAGAGCTACAAAGGACAAAACATTGTGGAGAGCCATGTCACCAATGTCATGAAGGGATATGGCACATAGAAGAAGAAGAAAATGAAGTGATTAGACAGATTCAAATTATAGTGGACACATTATTAGAACATATTCATTTAATCAATTTCAGACAAAATAAAATGATAAACCGCATTCAGCAGCAAAGCCTCTGATTGGGAGATTGGAGGTTTTGAGGAGCATGGAACCACCTCTTAATTGCTGTTGTTCCCAGGTCCACCCTGACCTGGTGTGGTAGCATCTGTTAGGGTCCCAGTTATGGACAATTAGTGAACCCCCTTACAATAACAAAATGCTATGAAAATATAAAAATACCAGCAATACATTTTTATATAAAACATTACCATAAATACCTATTTCTAGTAGAATTACCAACAATACATTTTATAGTAAAATTATCAACAATACTTTTTATTTGTGGTTGAAGGCATACAATTGCTTTCAAAATATTTAGCTTTCAGTATTAAATAACCCATAGAGGTTGATAAACAAAAACAAGCAAATGAAACCAAACAAAATAAGAACCTCTTTTTATTGAAAATAATTAATAAGTGGAAACCAACTTAAAATAAAACTGAATTAACTTATAAGTTACAAAGAAAGATGGGATTTGCACAGCATTTAAAATATATATCAAATTATTCATCTACAATGTTTCAGTTTTTAATATGTATAGCAATTGGAGATTTTATACTTTTCAATTAACACTCTCTGAAATAGAATCAAGCATTTTTCTGTTGAATATTCATGTATATTCTTGTGATCACTACTACATCTGCACATCAGGTTTAAATAAAGGACAACATAGCAAGGAATCAGTCCAAGTAACAGTCTGATTAGATGTTTGAGTAATAGCGTATAGTCCTTGTCAAAGTAGTAAGAGAAGTCATTACGAAATTTTGTGACCAATCTATTTCCTGTTGTATGAAATTTGTCTTAAAAAAAAACAACTTTTTGTAAAATACACCATACAATTTCAGGGATATAAACATTTTGAATTCATACATTGTATGCTTTCTTCGTTTCCTTTCTTTTTTCTTTGTGGATGAATTGAATATTTTTACAAAGCCAAATTTTCATTTCCCTCAACCTTTCACATTATCTTTGTTCTTCCTTTGCAACCAGTCTCTTAGCATAAAAAAATACTAAATGAAGCAGGATATGAGTTTTAAACACTTTACAAAAAGATTTACATAATTCTTAATACAAATATATTATATTCTGCTTCAAATTAGATCTTTTTCTTATTCACTCCACATGTTGGCAAAATGTGAATGCTAAGTAAGCAAAACCCAAACTAAAAAAGTTGTCCCCACCACAGCATTACAATGGCTGATAAAACAAATTCCCCCACCCCAAAAGATTATAAAATAGCAACATAAAATAAACCAATCATAAATGTTGCGGTCAAAGGAAAAAACATGAACAAAAGATTAGCTCAGGAGTCATGGCATGTGCTTTTAAGAAAGTCACTCATTCCCTGACAGACAAATTCAAGGTGAACAACAAGCTTCACTAATTCACTCTAGGCCACTACTATGATCTTGGTTAACCAACCTGACAAATATATCAACTCCAGGCTATAACCAACTTCAAAGTTGCCTCCTTCACTTACATTTAGAGATATTCCACTTGTATCCATTGTATAGACAACATAAAATAATTTTATATTTATAATTCTTCTTTTCCTTTCATCTTACTGGCAGTACTGCTGTTTTGTTTGTTCTTCTGTGCTACCATACATGTGTTTATAACGAATATAACTTAAAAAATGTATAAGAGTTGAAACAATATTTATCTTTTTATAATGTTTCAAGGTGGATATTTTTTTTTTAATATTATCAAAGTGATTTTAATTGAACAAGCTAAGAACGTGCCCTGTATAGTTTGTGCAGGTGAATATTAGGAAAATTGGCTTGACATATTATGCAAGGTATGTTCTAGGTATATGCTCAGAATTGTTGAAGCATTTACAATCAAATTTAGAAGATGCACTCTATGTGGGCAAATGGAGAGCTTTAGCCTTTTCTTTTTTTTTGGGTGGGAAGAAAACTAATCAGTTTTCTGTTCATTTCTGCTGCTTCTTCAGGTTGGTGATCAATTTTATTTGTTTTATTTATACAAATTAAATTGGTTTCTAAATTTGTTAGGAGATGATTTTCATCTTTTAATCATGTGCCAGTTTGTTCTGCTACCATAAAAGTTCCTTAAATATTTTTATTGTTCCAGTTAGGTTTAACAAAAAAGAAATTGTTTTTGCTAGTGATTGATCTATGAAGAAAAGTTTGCCAAAAGGTTCTTATATATATATATATATATATATAATATATATATATATATATATATATATATATATATATATATATATATATATATATATATATATGGTGTAATAGTGTATATATATATACATGTATATATATATATATATATAGGTGTAACAGTATATATATATATATATATATATATATATATATATATATATGTGTGTGTGTGTGTGTGTGTGTGTGTGTGTGTGTCTGTATGTGTGTGTGTAAAATATATAGAAAATAGGAAAGAACTCGTTAGGTAAATAATCCAAAGTTCTTTAGTATTTTAGTTATTATTTTTAAAAAATAGTGCTCAATACAAAAGTAGAGCATAAATATAATTATTTATTTAAAAATATGATTCCAACGCTACATAAGAGTTCTCATGATTTAAAACAAGAGTCGAAAACTTCAATATAATTATTTGAATTAAATTGAATTAAAGTACCAAGCTCTGTTCCATCTTCAAGTGAAATTTTGTTTGGAATAACTAATTCCTGAAATTTACGCATTTTATAAGCATATTCATTATTGAAATTAAAATTACTATGGTAATGGCTAGAGCAATTGTTTAAAGAAAAGGGGCGTAAGGGTTAATAATTTGTATCAATATCTCAGTTACATTCAAAGACGTCTTTGAAATTATGTAATGCACATAATCTAACAATTTTAAATTATGTTGCATCATTCAATAATGTCTTTAAGAAAAAACAAATTTAAAATAAGTTGGCATAAAAAAATAACTTCTTTTTAGAGAAAATTGAGTAACATATTATAGGAAATTTATATCTCCAAATAAATTCAATTTCACTATCAAAACTTCTGATGAGCAAATAACATATCTGCAAAACTCTGAATTGTGAAGATAAGTTTGAACATTTAATTTTATTTGTTATTGTTTTTCAACTGTAAAACCTGGGTTTGAATCTTATCAAGGTTGATTTGTCCTGTGGACATGATTCTTTGGAAAGTGCCTGAAAACCACATCATGGTTTGACCCAAACTTTGTGAGTGAAATTGTGTAGACACAATTGTGACTGAAAATTTGAGAAAACTGGCCTTGTTCAAATTGTTGATTATACCAAATGATGTGCTCTTCCTCAGAAAGTGTAACTAAGATCAACTCAACATACTTGCTATATAAACCACAGGTGGACATTGTGACTGTTAAGCAAACACAAATGTGCCTGAGCAGGCATCTGCAACAGGGATTTATACTCAGATATGAGCAGCCAGTATTTTATGTATCTATGTATGTCTGTGTGTGTTTCTATGTATATTCACATACATTGTCATGCTTGTATTTTGGTTGCTGTAAAAGTTTAAACTTAGCTTCTTTCAGATTTGATTTACCAGCAAATCCTTCTAGCAAAATTGTTGTTTCAGACTGAGCAAACAAACATTATCAGCACTTTGTGCTTTAACTGATTACCCAAAAAGATTTTATAGCAAACTCTTGGCAAAGCAAGGCTGTCAAATAAAATTACACATCTCACTCTTTGCTGGAACAGCCACTGCTACAGGAGAAAGGAAAAGAAGTATCTGAATTAAGTTATAAAATTTTCTGCAAATGAAAATGTCATTTAAATGATAACCGTATTAAAACTCTTGGTCTTAAATCAATATTTTTAGGATTTAGTTTCTAGAGAGAACAATGAAAAAGACTAGATTTGTATAAAAAGAAAATTTTGATGTCTACTTATCAAAAAGTTTGTATGTTTAATATTGGTTATTTCCATTTCTTTCCTGTGTATTTTCTGAGGCTTTGTAATGCTCTACATATGGCATTTGTTCATAATCTTCTCTTCTAAATGTTTTCAAGTGCTTTTGCTTGGATTCTCTTCTACTTTATCTTTGAAAGCATCATAATTAACAACTGATGGTCATCCACTTTGGAGCTTTATTTCAAGGGACAAGTCACCACTTATACTACTTAATGGTTGTAGAATGTAAAACAACTCAAGTGTTGCAATAAAGAAAAGCAACAAAAATAAGATTGAGGAAAAGCTAATCAAAATTTTGGTTAATATATTTTTTTCTGAGTTTTGTGTTTTTTTTTTTAAATTTTATTGTAGAAAATCTTTCTTATCTTCATTTTTTGTTGTTTTTAATACAATGTTTTGGTAAATATATATTTTGACTCTCCTTATGTGTATGCAGTATCTAAAACATTTTAAAAGATGCTAAATACATTTTCCTTTTCTACTTTTTCATCTTCTCAACCAGGACATTAACATCTAGAAAAACTCACATGATTGAGCCACATAAGCGAATATTAAGGACTCAGTTTAGTCTCAGGATGACCTTTTTTATGAAAAGTTTCTTGTGTTATTATCAAAGTTTTTAAAATAATTTTGTTGTGACCCTTTGATATGAAAAACTGAAAAGCCTTGAGTGATAAAATTAGTTTTTAACAGCATTGGCTTCCATGTGATGTTAACATTAATACTCAGTGTGATTATACAATTCTTTTTTTTTTTTGACAAGGGTTATTCTCAGTGCCATATCAATTGTTGCTCTTATAATGTTTCCTTTTTGTCCTATTTTGCAGACGCTATTAAGAATCTGGGATTGTTTCTTTGTTGAAGGCCCAAAAGTTCTTTTCCGCTTTGCACTTGGCCTTCTAAAAATGCATGAGAAGCAACTACTTCAACAGCTGGATACAATCAGTGTGATGCGTCACCTCAAATGTTGCGCCAAACTGACATTTGATGTCGAAGGATTGGTTAAGGTAAGTAGGCCTTTGGATAATTCACTAATAAGAATGGACAGGAATTTCTACAGCAAATGTTCATTGTAATATGAAAGTGCTTTAAGAGGCAAAGTAAGACACAGAAATTATAATTCTGAAAGAGTATTGAAATGACTGTCATATAATCAACAGCATGACTTAATGACAACAGTATGTTCAAAAAGACAAGTTGATAATTCACATGATAGATTGATGGCAAAGCACATAACCTGTTCATCTGACTTAAAAACATGTAAAGATTACATTACTATATAGAGAGTAACCAGCAAGCAAAAAGATTTTGTTTGGGACTTGTTTGCTATAACTTTATTATTCTCTACATCCTACAGGAGAATAAAGTGAGAATTCTTAACTATGAAAGAAATTGTATTTCTATTTTCAACATTCCTACTGCTAAGATAGAAGATCGCTAATCATTCCCTAAAGCTTTTGGTTATCCTACAATGTAAACTTGAGTTTCAAATACATGAGGTGATTGGAATAAATTTTATTATTAATTTTCCATAATATAACACTTCATCCTAGAATGGTAATTTTCTAAGCATAGCTCAAATGTGGCACAAGGCCGAAAGTATGGGGCACTCAATGAAGATCAAGCTCACTATTCAGTTGTTGTTCTACGAGACAAGCTTGCTAACCATTACACCACACCAAGGTGCACTTTATCCTAGAATGTTTGCAGTCTAAATTAAAGGATGGAAGTAAATTTCCTGAATATTTAATAACAGGGGTGGTTGGAATAGGGATGTTCAACTAAATTTTTCTCCAAATCAGGATTCATTTTAAACTCAAAGGTAAACACAGCTTGTCTTCCTTAAACCTCATCTGTTAAATTATTTGTTAGAGGTTCTTAAAGCTTAGAGCAGGCATGGGCAACCTTTTTCAAGCAGTGGGTCACATGAGATATGGTTCATCATGATGTGCACTGAATCACTACAAAAATTCAAAGTAAGGTGTTAAAACAGGATCTTTCTCAATAAACTGAATGGCAACATTTTATCAGACAAGTAAAAAATGTTCTCTGAAGAGAAATTTTACTAAACTTAAAGTCTAAAGGTTAAATCCAATTTAGTAGGATGGGAGACAAGCTACTTCTACTGCTTAGAGCACATCCATTACGCTGAGAAACATGAGTTCAATATCTTCAGAAATTTGTTAGCCAAGGATGGTGAGTTCAAGAAAGTCAGCCTAGTCAACAGAAGGTATATCAGACTTTTTCACTACAGAATATGAAAATCTGTCTACATTTCTGAGACTAAGTATTGTAACTATTTACACTATTTACAATGTTTGAACTGTTATATTGTTCTAGTTCCACATGCCATGCCTCTTCCAGATATTTCAGTTTCAGTTATTTCCTTTTAGTAACTCAACCCTCCAAGTTTTTGTTCATCTCTGTCCTGTCAAGGTATTGCATTCACAACTCTTTAGGTCAAATCACTGGATTACTTCAACTAATGCTTTCATCCTCTGGGCCATGTCTTCTTGGAGATGTCAAGAAGAAGCATGGCATGTGGAACTAGAACAATTTACCCCAGTAGACAAAATAAAGGGTTTGGTTCAAAATTCCAATCACCTGGAGAATATTGAGAATATGACAACAAACATTGTAAATAGAATATAAAAAGTTTATTGTTTTTCTTTGGAGAAAATTTTTTCTATGAAAAAACTGGAATCTTGGCAGTGTGATTAACACATGCTTTGGTGTGTGAATTGTTTCTAATTTATTCATTTAAAAATAGAAATAATAATTTTTTCAAATAAAAAATTTATTTCTTCAGTAGAGAAAAAAAAGTTAAGCAAAAGATGTTTACTAATATCATCTGCTGTAACGAAAATTGCCAATGGTTTAAAATGATGAAAACATTATCTTCAGCAAAAGGTTATGAAATTCAAGAAACATTGTAGCTAATCACTGTCATGTATGTGGTTATGTATGAGAAAATGTGAGTGAACAAGTGAGAATGAAACGAAGCAAACAAAATTTTAATATTTTCCTCATGAAATTAGGCATGCAATTCAGAAAGCTGAATGGGCTACATGTGGCCCATGGGATCACAGTTTTCCCCCAACTGGCCTAGTACGACAATTTCCTATTATGACTATCAGCCTGCACAGTCTTAAATCTTAATAAAGAAAATGTAATCTCCTGCAGGAAATGAACCTGCATCCACCCATCACTGCTCAAGAGAACATTTTATTAAGATTTCTCAAATTGCAGCTCAGTAGTTGTAATGCATGCTGTTTAAAATAAAAATGGGGCATCAATTTCAAATACAAGTATCTACTATACTAACATTTGGAGTAATATTACCATATATTTAAATACAAATAATGTTCAAAGTACAGGGTGTTCTAAAAGTCTTGGAAACATTTTGACATTGAATATCTTGAAAACTATTAAGGATATAAAAATGCGCCTGACAGATTCTGAAAGAATTTAATCTCAAGTTTTACACGGAATGTTCAAAGATGTTCAGTGTGAGCATCGTTGGTCACATGGCACACGTCAAATCCGTCATCTTCCAACTTCTCTTACACTGCAATGCAAAAGTCATGACAAGCTGGTTTATCAGTGTCCTGCAACTGTTGGGTTAACTGTAGCTTGTAAGGTGTCATATGCAGTCGTCTTTTTAAGACATGCCAAACAGTTGTTGTAGGAAGATGAAGTTCTTTACTGGCTCTTCTGATCGATTTACAACCATATCATATGAAGTTGAGGGATGTCTTGTTCTCTTACCTGGGCACAAACACCCATCCTCCATGAATTTACCATGCCATCTCAATACGGACTTCCTTTCTGGTGCCTCTTTTCAGAATTTTGTGTGAAATGCACATTGAACAAGTATCCATGATTAAGTTTTTGCAAATTCAAGGACGCAAAAAACTTTTTTAGTTGAGTGAACGCCATTACTGGATCTGAAAAAATATGAAAAAATCCTTAACATTACAAAAAACTTAATGAATTTAGCTTTAAAATGGTACCAGTTTCATCTTGCTACCATTCATAGTTCAGCAGATATGAGGACTTGAAATATTCCCAAGATTTCTGGAACATCCTGTATTTTATAAATGTTGTGGATTGTATATTGATCAGCAAACAGATATTAAATGATAGAAAACAATAACAAACAAAATGAAGACTTGAGTAAAAAAAGTTTATTGTCATTAAAGAAAATAGATTGACAAAATATGATGACAGTTTAATAGGTAAAAATTCTCTGCATATTCATGTAGAATGTAAGAAGAGCATTGTCCTGAGAAGGACAATTTATCATATATTGTTGCAGCTGCTGCTGGCCAGTTGTGGCTGCTGCTTCTGGAACAGATACTACACTGCACTTTGATCTCAGGCATCTTGGCTGTGGATGTCATTTTTTTGTCTCTTTCCAAGCCTGATTTTTATGCAGAGTCAACTACACAACAGTGGCAGGTTCTTTTAGGTAAAGTTTTTTCTGGTTGTTTTTTTGAAAATGTAGGGGTGCTAACAGGATACAACACAAGAATTATTTTATACCACTTAGACTAAACATTGAAAGATATAATGAAAGTTTAGTATAAATAGCACAATAACAAATGAAGTAAGAAAGATGTCTCTCAATCTTTAGCCATGTTTTAGCAACTTTCCATCAGACTCTTAAAACATATCACAATTATTTCTCTAAAGTGTAATCTCTCATTTATTTCTTACTTTCACATTTGAAGTTTTCATTCGTTCTTTGAGTCAGGTCATGCTCATGCCTGTTACTGGTAACATGTAACCCAGTAGAGCCTACTACATGAATGAGTGGTTGGTATCTACCCACACCCTACTAACTTTTTTGCTGGTGAGGAGGGTGGCATGTTATCCTATAGGATGAAATGCAAGACCTGTCAAAGGGAGGATGAGCTTCTTATAGGAGCCAATGGCCAACGTATATATATATATTTATTTATATATATATATATATATATATATATATATATATATATATATAATTATATATATATGAAGGATAAAAATATAGTTTCAGGGATAGAGCATATGTAAATATAGAAGTGGACATTGAAGTCAACACCCACAGACAATAGCCTATTTCATGCTTAAACACAATCTTCATGACCTGAAGATTTGTATTTAAGCATGAAACAGACTGTCACCATTCGGTGTTGACTTCAATGTCCACTTTGCACACACACACAAACACACACACACACACACACACACACACATAATAAATATATATATATATATATATATATATATATTTTGAATAAAAAACAGACCACGTTAAGATTCCATGTAATAAGCTATTTCACCATAACCCCTTTAACAGGGTTCTGGATCATCAGACTTTACTTCCAAAAGCTGAAATGAAAAAAAAAAATATATATATATATATATATATATATATATATATATATATGTATATATATACAAGGCTTGGATGGGGTCTCAATTTTTAAATGGCAACCTTCCTAGAGATGGTGTACCAATAAAAACAGTTGGTGTACTTGAACTACTGTGAGTGTCAGTACGAGCATCCAGCCTTGTAAAACCTTGCCTCAAATCATAATGACAAATCCTTTCCTCAACAAAAACATAGCTATGTATGTGTATGTCTGTTCTTGAATTTCTAGATCATTTCATATTAATGCAGTGGTCTCCCTCAGTTTTATCTTTGGACCTACATTGTTTCTTCATAAATGATTTTCCTGATCACATCAGTTCCCAAACTAGGTATTTATGCTGATGACACAACTATTTACTCCTGTCTTAATAGTAAATCAAATAAATATGACAAAGTAATACTGGCAACTGCTTTCAAAAACGACCTCTAATCAATTGTTAACTGGGTCAGGGAATGGCTTCTAAATGTTAATACCTCCAAAATGAAATTGTTATCTCTTAATCATGATAGAGAATTTATTTTGATTTCCATCAGCATGGATGATGTTAACCTCCAGCTGAGGAATTCATTGCACCTTCTCAGGCTGAT